CGGGGGCCCGCTTTGTGCCAGCGGCCCCAGCCCGGGCAGCGGCGGGACGTTCATCTTGCGTGGCAGGAGCTCCCCAGGGGCAGGGCCCTTATCGCAGAGCCGCAGCCGGCTGGGCTCGCGGCGAGGGCGGGGCAGGGACCCCCTCGGCTGCACAGCTCGTCCTGCTCACTCCCAGGGGGCCAAGCAGAGGAGCAGCCGGAGGCGCGGGGGTCAATTAGCATTTTGATTACGGGGCTGGGGGCCCATCTGGACCAAGGCCTAATTACCGGGCGGACCCTCCGGGCGCTGGCAGGACTTGCCAGGCGCGTCCCCTCTCTGGGCGCTCGATGCCTCCTCCCCGGTACTCTGTCCTCGTCCTGAGCCTTCTGTCCTTCTGACTGCATCCAGTCCCCCAGCACCACGTCACTAGTCCCAGGCGTCCCGTCGCCCTGTTTCTGTACTTCCATCCCTTTTCCCCAGCTCTGTCCTCTCCCCTCTCTCTGCCTCTCTCCCGCCTGTCATTCTTTGTCCCTCTCTTCACCTTTTCTCCTCTGTCGCTCTTCACATACCCCTCGTTTCTCCACCCCTCTACTCGTCTCTTGGCAGCCTCCTCACCTCCTTGGCCCCAACCCCATGACAGTCCAGGTGGCAGAGCAGGGACTCCTGTGCCCCAGGCCTGGCGCTCCCAGGGGAGGTGGCAGACTCTGATCTGCTGGTCGGAGCCTGGAGCCTGGGCACCCGGCGGCGGCGGGCAGCTGGGCTCAGGCCTCGGTGGTCAGTCTGCAGCGCCCTGATGCACAGTGCACATGCGGCCCAGGGGCAATTACTCAGGGCTTCCTGCCGGTCTCCCCAGCCTGTATCGGAGGCAACTGTGGCCAAGAGAGGTCCAAGGGACAGTAGCTGATTCATGGGCTTTTGGAGAGTTTTGGTCCCCCTTCCTCAAGCAGTTATGAGTCCCCTCAGGTGAGAGCTGGGCTTTGGGGCACTCTGGCAGGACAGGAGACATCAGGGCCCAGACACGGCTGTGGGCCTAACAGGGCCTTGTCCTGCTCTCGGGTTCAGGCTCAGCTCTAGCAGCCCCTTACCCCTTTGGGGCTTGGGGTCCGGTGCAGATTCTGTGATCATTGTCTCCTTCTGCGACTGCACTGCCCAATCCTGCCCAGGTTCCATGTTACACAAAGGCCTGGTTTGCGGGGGGTCCCACTGTGAGTTCCCAGCACCCACCAGTTATGCCGGGCCCTCTGCCTCAGTGGGCTCCAACCCAGGGGCATCAGTGGGCAGCCTGGCTCTGATGAGCTAGAAGTGAAGGCAGAGGGTGAGAGCACAGGCTGGGGGCAGGGACAGGTATGGCTGAGGGTACCTTCCAACAGAGGGTGAGGTCAGCGGTGGGAGGAAAATGCCAAGATGGGCAGGGAGCTGAAGGCTCATTGGCGAGAATGTTGAAGCCACCAGGAATTCAGGTACAGACACAAGGTTGGGGATGGTGACTCCCATCCAGGACACTTAGGGAGAGGTGGGAAGGACTCTGCCAGGTCCGAGTGGGAGAGAAGGCAGCGCCCGGGGGAACAGCATGGGTAGAGCCAGGTCCCCAGGAAGGAGCGAAGGGTGAGGGAGGAAGGCTGGGGCTGGGGAGGGCTTGGGAATAGAGGGCTTCTCCAGACCAGGTTCTGTGTGCTTGGAGGGGCAGGAGGTACGAGGGCATGGGGACGGGCCGGAGAGGCCCGGGGGTCAGTCTTGGTCTCTGCTAGGTGGGTGCTCTGGAGCCCAGGTCAAGGGAGGAACCCTGAGTTGCTGAGCACAGCAGAACTGAGTGTGTGCAGGCGGGGACACCCGGGAACCAGACAGCACTGCGGGTGGCGGGGGGGGGGGGGGGGGGGGGGGGCGGCGCGGGGGAGGGGGGGGAGTGGAGAGGAGCAGTGAGTGTGAGCAGGCTTCTCACAGAGCCAGGGTCCTGAGGGCTCAAGGGCGTCCCCAGGTGGCCCCGAAGCCATGCAAGGTGAGTGGCAGAAATTGCTCTACAGACCACAAGTGTGCAGGGGTGGGTGCAGCCCGTACACCCTCCCCCCTTCACTGAAGACCAGCTCTGGAAAGCCAGGTCCTCTGCTCCATGCCCTTCTCTTCATCACCATGCTTTTTGTTTTTAAGAATTATTTAGGTATTGGGGCCAGCAGTTGGCGTAATGGCTGTGTCGCTGGACTCCCATGTAATTGACCGCGATTTGAGTCCCGGACCCAGTGTCTTAAACTCACGCCGGGCGCATGTGCCTGTGTGCCCAAGATCCCGAGAGGAGAATG